TGTATCACTGAGCAGATGCAGGACGAGATACCAGACCAGTCCAACTGAAAAGTAGACAATAGGCCAGGCAGAGTGCATCAGCAGAAACTGCTGGAAGCTAGAAGCAAAGTATATGACCTACACCCCAACTGACTCCCTTCATTTGGGCGCAGCCCACCTGCACCCAGGCACATGCAATAAAGCCTTTTTGCTCTACATTGACCTTGCATTGTGATGTGATCTCCTGCCAACTCAGACATTTTACTCGTCGCTACACAGCACTGACTGGGGTCACTCAGTGCTATTCAGCTGGCAGCTGAACTGGGAGGAAGAGTCCTAGACAGCTTTCCTCACATGCCTGACACCTCAGCCATCTCCACCTCCTTTTGGTAGATTCTTAAGGTCTTTCCAGCAGACTAGTCAAACAGCTCACATGAAAGCTCAGGGTTCCAAGGTCAAGTATTTCAAAAGACGTAAAAGGAAGCTGCCAATATCATAAGGCCTGTGCAGGACACTGGCACAGCATCACTAATGCCAAATCCTCTTGGTCAAAATAGTCACAAAAGTCCTCCAGATTCCAGAGAGAAAGCAGAGAGACTCCATCTCTTGATTTAAAAGAATTTGCAACTGTAGACATCTCAGCAAGGTGTTAGGGCTTAAAGAATTTGGACTTGTTTTCCATGGCTTTGGCTGTCTTACTAAGTCTACTTAAGGAGAAGAAGGACTAGTCCAAGATTAAGGTTGTAATTGGTAATGTAGCAGAAGTCATCATATTTAGTCATTTTTGTGACTTGAACAATGTTCATGTTTTGTCTATGTTCAGATATGACCATACAGTGATTTTATTGTTTTCTTGATCCGACAGAGTAATTTTGCCTGATGATATTCTATGAAACTGTTTATATTCAGTAGGAGAAGAATAATTCCTTCTCTAGACTAGCAGCAGATATCAGAGGCTGCTTTTCTATTCCACACTCCAAGCATGCTACACTCATAGTGGCCTTGAATTTTCTCTGTCCTCCGACAGTACTTCTGTTTTATTTAGTGCCCTATATCTTTGAAAGTGTTAGTAATGTTTTATTTATTTATTTTTATTAATTTATTTTTGTTACAGATGTTTTTCCTTTTTCCCTCATTGACACCCTCCTCCTGATCCCCCAAACCCTGTCCCCAGCATTGTTGTCTATGTCCATTATTTAATCATACATGCATATAAGTTCTGTGGTTTATCTCTACCCTACCCTCCCAAACTCCCTCTTCTGAGATTTGTCAGTATGTACCTTACCTCTATGTCTCTAGGTCTACTTTGTTCATCAGTTAGGGTTAGTAATGTTTTAAAGGATAAATGTAAAAGTTTGCAAAAGGCAGAAATGGTGAAAAAATGCGTCGCCTGCATGACCTTTGCTCAACCTTCTGCTAAGCGAGAATTATCAGGTTATGCGCAAGCAATGTATCACTCAGCAGATGCAGGATGAGATACCAGACCAGTCCAACTGAAAAGTGGACAATAGGCCAGGCAGAGTGCATCAGCAGAAACTGCTGGAAGCTAGAAGCAAAGTATATGACCTACACCCCAACTGACTCCCTTCATTTTGGGTTCAGCACTCCTGCACCCAGGCACATGCAATAAAGCCTTTCTGCTCTACATTGACCTTGCATTGTGATGTGATCTCCCACAGACTCAAACATTTTACTCGTCGCTACACAGCATTGACTGGGGTCACTCAGTGCTATTCAGCTGGCAGCTGAACTGGGCGGAAGAGTCCTAGACAGCTTTCCTCACATGCCTGACACCTCAGCCATCTCCACCTCCTTTTGGTAGATTCTTAAGGTCTTTCCAGCAGACTAGTCAAACAGCTCACATGAAAGCTCAGGGTTCCAAGGTCAAGTATTTCAAAAGACGTAAAAGGAAGCTGCCAATATCATAAGGCCTGTGCAGGACACTGGCACAGCATCACTAATGCCAAATTTTCCTGGTCAAATAGTCACAAAAGTCCTCCAGATTCCAGAGAGAAAGCAGAGAGATTCCATCTCTTGATTTAAAAGAACTTTGCAACTGTAGACATCTCAGCACAGTGTTAGGACTTAAAGAATTTGGACTTGTTTTCCTTAGCTTTGGCTATATTACTAAGTCGAATTAAAAAGAAGAACTAGTCCAAGATTAAGGTTTTGTGACTTGACCAATGTTCATATTTTGTCAATGTTCAGATACGACAATACAGTGATTTTATTCTTTTATTGATCTGACACAGATCAAGAGTAATTTTTGCCTGATGTGGATGTTCTATGAAATTGTTTACATTCAGCAGGAGAACACTAATTTCTTGCCCAGGTTAGCTCTGGATATCAGAATCTGCTTTTCTATTCCACACTCCAAGCATGCTATACTCATAGGGGCCTTGAGTTTTCTCTGTTCTCCGTCAGTACTTCTGTTCTATTCAATGTCCTATATCTTTGAAAGGGTTAGTAATGTTCTATTTTATTTTTTATATGTTTTTCCTTAATTTATTTTTGTTACAGATGTCTTTCCTTTTTTCCCCATTGACACTCTCTTCCCTATCTCCCCCTATCCCCATCCATAGCATTGTTGTCTGTGTCCACTGGTTACTCACACATGCATATAAGTTCCGTGGTTTATCTCTTCCCTCCCTCTACTCCCTCATCTGAGGTTTGTCCATCTGTACCCCACCTCTATGTCTCTGGGTCTATTTTGTTCATCAGTTAGGGTTAGTAACATTTTAAATGGTAAATGTAAAAGCTTGCAAAGGGCAGAAACAAAGAAAAATGTGTTGCCTGCATGACCTTTGCTCAACCTTCTGCTAAGCGAGAATTATCAGGTTATGCGCAAGCAATGTATCACTCAGCAGATGCAGGATGAGATACCAGACCAGTCCAACTGAAAAGTGGACAATAGGCCAGGCAGAGTGCATCAGCAGAAACTGCTGGAAGCTAGAAGCAAAGTATATGACCTACACCCCAACTGACTCCTTTCATTTGGGCGCAGCCCACCTGCACCCAGGCACATGCAATAAAGCCTTTTTGCTCTACATTGACCTTGCATTGTGATGTGATCTCCCACAGACTCAGACATTTTACTCGTCGCTACACAGCACTGACTGGGGTCACTCAGTGCTATTCAGCTGGCAGCTGAACTGGGAGGAAGAGTCCTAGACAGCTTTCCTCACATGCCTGACACCTCAGCCATCTCCACCTCCTTTTGGTAGATTCTTAAGGTCTTTCCAGCAGACTAGTCAAACAGCTCACATGAAAGCTCAGGGTTCCAAGGTCAAGTATTTCAAAAGACGTAAAAGGAAGCTGCCAATATCATAAGGCCTGTGCAGGACACTGGCACAGCATCACTAATGCCAAATCCTCTTGGTCAAAATAGTCACAAAAGTCCTCCAGATTCCAGAGAGAAAGCAGAGAGACTCCATCTCTTGATTTAAAAGAATTTGCAACTGTAGACATCTCAGCAAGGTGTTAGGACTTAAAGAATTTGGACTTGTTTTCCTTAGCTTTGGCTGTCTTACTAAGTCTACTTAAGGAGAAGAAGGACTAGTTCAAGATTAAGGTTGTAATTGGTAATGTAGCACAAGTCATATATTTAGTCATTTTTGTGACTTGAACAATGTTTATGTTTTGTCTATGTTCAGATACGACAATACAGTGATTTTATTCTTTTCTTGATCTGACACAGAGTAATTTTTGCCTGATGTTGATTTTCTATGAAACAGTTTACATTCAGCAGGAGAACACTAATTCCTGCCCAGGTTAGCTCTGGATATCAGAAGCTGTTTTTCTAGTCCACATTCCAAGCATGCTATACTCATAGTGGCCTTGAATTTTCCCCGTCCTCTGTCAGTACTTCTGTTCTGTTTATTCAGTGCCCTTACCTTTGAAAGGGTTAGTAATGTTTTATTTTATTTTTTATATTTTTTTGTTAATTTATTTTTGTTACAGATGTTTCTTTTTTTTCCCATTGACACCCTCCTCCCGATCCTCCACCTCCCATTCTCCTTTCCCAGCGTTGTTGTCTATGTCCATTGGTTAAGCATACATGCATATAAGTTCTGTGGTTTATCTCTTCCCTCTCCTCCTTCTGAGGTTTGTCAGTCTGTACTCTACTTCTATGGTTCTGGGTCTATTTTGTTCATCAATTAGGGTTAGTAACGTTTTAAAGGGTAAAGGTAAAAGCTAGCAAAAGACGGAAACTGTGAAAAATGCATTTCTTGCATGACCTTTGCTCAACCTTCTGTTGAGTGAGGATTATAGGGTTATGAGCAAGTCAATGCAACACCCAGCAGATGCAGGACGAGATACCAGACCAGTCCAACTGCAAAATGAACAAGGGGCCAGGCAGAGTATGTCAGCAGGAACTTGGGGAAGCTAAAAGTAAAGTGTATAACCTACACCCTAACTGTGATTTGAGGCTAACCCCTTTTCAGCTCAGTGGACATGCACCCAGGGGTATGCAATAAAGCCTTTTGCTCTACATTGGCCTTGCACTGTGGATGTGATCTCTGCTGGCCCAGACCTTTTAATCTTCAGGAATCCTTTTCTTAGCACTCTACTCAGTTCCCTCTGACATCCTTTGTATTGGCTACTTGAGTCTATGTTTTGTTTCTTTAGATAAGATCATAGCACACATTTCTCTCAATACTGGCAGCCTACTGCAAATCACAGGCACCTAATACTATATAGTCATAAAAAAGAAAATGAAGAGGTTTATTTCCCTGGTCCATAACTGGAGCACAGTGGTGAAACTGCTTCACTAAATTTAGTAAAAATCGTTCTAGAAAACAAACTCCAAGAATCCTGCCAAGAAGAACTCATGTCTAAATGAATCAATCCCTGTTCCTAGGAAACAATGTAGGTTTTGGTCTTCCCTGAGCCTGGTGCAGGACTACATTTCCCAAAATTCTTCGAGGTCAACAAGGAGCAGTAGTGTTCAGAACTACACTTCCCACAATACACGGCGCCCGCCACTAAGTCGCGATTTCGGAGAGCTCCTCCCCATTTCCCGTCATCCCTTTAGGTTCTGAACCTAGGGGGACAAGGTCGTGAAAAAAGGACTTGGTGGGATAGCGCCATTTCTTCTTTCGGCTTCTGCGCCTTTCCCAGGGCTTCCAACAGCAAAATGTTGGGACAGAGCATTCGGAGGTTCACAACCTCTGTGGTCCGCAGGAGCCACTATGAGGAGGGCCCAGGGAAGGTTAGTGTGTGAAGGGCCCGGGTTCGTTGGGGCGGGGGGCCCTTGGCTGCGACTCGCTGAACTGGCAAGGCCGCCTGTGGGCCGTGGAAAGGGAGGTGGAAATCCCGAATTTGGTCTGGGTCGCCGACTACCGTGCCACTTACCCCGTGGGCCAGCGAGAAAGCTCGGGACCCTGGTGCGCGCGGAAGTGGAGGAAAGGAATGAGTGGGTAGAGGTGGAGGCCCTACCTCCCCTCCAGCACCGGGGCAGGTCCTGGAGACCTTGTCGGCAGGTGGTGTGTCTTAAAGCCGAACTAGAGGTCAGCGGACTCGGAGTGAAAGTCCTTGGAAACTAATGACGACGTCCTGAGAGCCTGTGGTTGCGGGTCGAATCTTCTCTAACTAGTTGCTAAATTATAAGTATTAACCCTCCTTGGTTGAGCTTGGGTTTAGCCTCAAGTATAAGTAGCTTAAATAGGGTAGTTAGTAACCGCCTCCGAGGATTATGCGAGGCTCAGGAGTAAAGGCCTGAGAAACGGCTTTGAGGGCGGCCTGGTTAAGAAAAAAATCACTTAGTGCCGTTAACATTGACGTGTGCCTTCTTTAATAAGTGTCTGGTTTTTAACAAATGTTAACTAGAACAGTGCATTCGGTTTCTAAAATTACTTCTTGAGAGTGTTTCCCATTTTCTAAAATAAAAGAGGAAGTTCACTATTTTGCACCTGAGTTCTTAAGACCACTTCCTGGTGCTCAGTAAAGCCCGCCCTCGTGTGTGTGTGTGTGTGTGTGTGTGTGTGTGTGTGTGTGTGTATTTTACTCTCTAGTCTAGTGTTATGTATAATGAAAGTCATAGGATTTGAAAGATGATGTGTGAAGAAGGTGCTATGATATATGGCATGAATAATCTGATTATGTTAAAAAAAATTCATTCTCTGTGTACTTATTGTTGATCGTTCTAAAATCAAATAATTTGAAGTTTTGTTTTTGTTGCTTGTTTTCTTTTCCCACCAGAATTTGCCATTTTCAGTGGAGAACAAGTGGCGCTTACTAGCCATGATGACTTTGTACTTTGGATCTGGATTTGCTGCCCCTTTCTTTATAGTAAGACACCAACTGCTTAAAAAATGAGGATGTTTTAGTTAATCCATGAAACAGGTAATTAATTAATGGATTTCTGCTCTTCCCAAAGCAGTGCTTTCTCTCTTATTTATTCCTTCGTTCTCCGTTCCTTCTTCCCCAAAAGATTACAAATATGCCCTGGCTGGTTTGGCTCAGCAGTTAGACCGGCCCTTCAGACCAAAGAGGCTAGGGTTTGATTTCTGATCAAGGGTACATACTTGGGTTGCAGGTTCCATCCCTAGCCCTGGTTGGGGTCCTGGGGGGGGGCAACCAATTTAAGTGTCTCACATGAATGCCCCCTTTTCCCCCTCCCTCCCTTCCTCCCTGCCTTCCACTATGTAATACATTTTTGTGCATAGGTTTGATTCCTGAAGTTAGGTGTATACAGGGCATTGGTGGAGACGGGTTGATAAACCTAGAAACAAGTGTTTCTTTACCTGAAATCCAGGGTTTATTTAGTACTACTGTTTGTCAGGTACACTTTACATTAATCTTATGTGGATTCCCTAGCAAGCCTGTGAAGTGGGTAATATAAACCTGATCTGAGACATAAAAAATGTTAAGTTGCTCAACATTTCATAGCTAGTGATGGTGAACCAGAATTTTTAGAGCTCACATTTTTTAACCAGGAAAGTTCTAGTAAATTGATTATTAGTCTATCTTGAGGTCAGTGTATTCTAGGAGGTTAGCCAATTCCCCATGTGAGAAGAAAAGGTTTATCGAACTTAATTATAAGCAGAAGTACCCTCAAAATGACACTATAAGGAGCTCTGTGGGATAATTGGAACGAATTCCAAAGTATACTTTGGAAAATGAAGACTTTGTCATAGTTTAGAGGGGAAATGATTTATCCAAGCCATTAATAAGGACAGATTTTGGTACATATGATGAAGCAAATCAGTATGAATCAAGTCATGACACTGTAAACGCTTTCTGATGTACCAATCACAAACTGGTGGACGGACAGTACATTAGTAAAACTACATGATTTCTGTTAAATGAATGGGATTTTTCAGTACCATTTTTTGTGTGTTTTTATTTGCAGATATGAAGAGGAGCATTTTAAGAGGTGCAGTTGCTTTGAAAAATGGATCAAACTGTTTAACTCAACATACTAGATGTGTTTGTAAATAAACTTATGGCATGAGTCCTTAATGCCTCTTCTCTGAAATACAAAAAATGTCATAATTGAGCATGTGTGTACTTCTTCATTTGGGTATTATTCCTATATTAGTTTATTGATCAAAATATATGATTTAGATTGTTTTTTGGTCTTAGATTCTGAGATTTAATTTTTTATTGCTAGGTTACAACCTTGTTGGTAATTTATGTTATAAATGCAAACTTCACTTTAGTTCTATACTAGTTTCTTTTTTATTCAAAGGGGAAGAAAAATTTTACTTTTAGTCTTTCCCGTTACTTTAAAGGAGTAAATTGGTTTTTCTCACTGAGTGATAATTAGTAGGAAAACCAGTGTTAATACAGATTAAATTCAAGAGCATCATATTTTCCTCTAGACCTATTCCCTAAAACTGAAATTTTTGTCTTAATAAATGTGCCACTGACCAATGTTAATCTTGTTTAGACTGAATAGAAGTACAATATTTGGAATGGAATGGAATAGCATGTAAGGTAGAATATAGGAAATAATTACCTATTTATTCTGGTGCTTGAACTAGTAGAAATGGGTTAAAAGATGGTTCTGATACAGAATTTTATCAGTGAATCAAATTTACATGAATAATGAAATGCTGCTTGCAACTTGGTGTAGTGCCCTAATTCCTAGGGCTTTGCATTAAGGCAAGGAAAAAGTAGTTAGCTACTAAATAATTTGGTCTCAATCTGGTCACTTTTAGAATACCACTGGTGTTAGAAGAACACTGTAAAGCACAGGTGGTAAACTGGTGGTCTGTTTAGCCTCCAGACTGCAGTAGAGTGGGTGGGGGAGGGGCGCCTGCTGTACTGGTTTTAAACCAATATTTAAAACTAGAATATTTACATTAAAGTTTGTATTTCTGGATTCTTGAAAAATTGCTCTGGATGGTCCTATGCACCCCTTCAGGGAACACAGTGGCTACCTCCATCAGTTCTTACGGTAACATTGAATTTCCTGTATGTCCCTAGTGTTCAACTACTGATTTATTAGAACCTTACATTTTTTATTTTTCTCTCAGTTTTTCTGAGGGCTTATTTTAGACTTTTTAATAACCACCTGGCAACTATTTAAATAATGGATGTAATTTAATCTAAATGACTGTCCAACCATTCCCTGTACTTGTGTGTCATTGTTTTTTGATTACCCATTGATGAAACAGATGTCATCTTGTGTTCAGTGAGTTTTCCTACCTTTTGAGAAAAGTAGAAACAAGAGAAGGTTTAGGGTTCATAAAATGATTCTGAATTCTTGGTTAAAATCTTTGCCCTTAAATTACAAATTAAGCTGTCTCGGGATAAAGCCTACCTTGCATTATTTTGAGAACAAGCTATATAAAAACATTTTGCTTTCTGGCAAATTCTAAATGAATTTTTTGGGGGTTTAAAATACTTAAAGAATCAAAAATTGGACAGCAAGGTATAGGTAGAAAACATCTGATTTATTAAATTTTTCTAAATTAAAGTATTTGGATTTATACAGTAAGTCCTCACTGAATATTGCCAATAGGTTAGTTCTTCGACTTGAAGCAAAACAATTCACAAGGAAACCAAAACCATTAAACAAGAGTTAAGTTCCTATGTCATATTTCTGATTAAAAAAAAAAAGTCAAACTTAAAAAGATCCAAAACACTTCTAATACTAAACATTCAAATAAACATGAGCTATACATATATTTAAGGAAAATTGGTAGAAGCATGTAAGATAATTTTTCAACCTGCTTTTTCCAGTTGAGGATTGCTGGTGGCTGGAGCCTATTTGAGCACCTCAGGGTGCAAGGAAATTACATTATGACACACACCCTCACTCCAACTGACACATCTTTGGGATGTAGGAGAAAGTCAGAGCCCTACCCAGAAAAAAGGAAATGGGAGGAATGTGCAAATCACACAGACGGTGGTCCTGGCCAAGAATATTTTCTTATGAATGTTACAACAAAACAACATTCAAGGAACTGATGTATATGAGAACAAAACCTTTGCCTGTCCTGCAATAGGAATGGTGGATTGCCCCATTCCCATTAAAAGGCTTCAGTAAGCCAGCCGTGGCCGGTTTGGCTCAGCGGTTAGAATGTTGGCCTGCGGTCCAGAGAGACCCGGGTTCGGTTCCCGCTAAGGGCATGTACCTCAGTTGCAGTTTGTCCCCGGCCCTTGTTGGTCGTGTGGGTGGCAGCCACTCAATGTGTCCCTTTCACATTGATGTTTCTCTTCCTCTCGCTCCCACTCTATCTGAACAAAAAATGGAAAAAAAAAAAAAAGGCTTCAGTAAACTGTCTTTTTAAGTGTATTGAGTGACAGGGTAGACAAATGTTAGGTTTTTTATTGGAGTTCTCCAAAGAAATAACCAACCTGATGTGCATAGATTAAGTCTGAGGAATTAGCTCAGGCAAGTGTGGTTTGACAGTCCAAAATCTGATGGGGGAAATACTGAACATTTGCAGTTCAAGTCCCAAACATCTGTTGGAAGAATTCCCTCTTCTAGGGGAGTTTTTTGTTTGTTTTTTTAAGGTCTTCAACTGACTGGATGAAGCTCACCCACATTATAAAGAAAACACCTTCATAGAAATATCCGTAGTAATGTTTGACCAAATATTGACACTGTGGCCCAGCTGATTTGACGCACAAAATTAACCATCACAATTTCATATTAGCATGTAACTCCACTATAAATTTTTTGTGTTGGCTTGAATTTTTTAAAACTACAGAATATTAATTTTGTAATATATATATATATGTATATATATATGTATATATATTCCCCACCCTATAAAAAAGTAATTCATGCTAAAATAGACATGGTGGAAATTGTTCAAATTAATCCCAAAGCCATTCTGCAGTTTTAAATTGGTATTTTCAATTACTCTAGCTACATTTCTAACCAGGTGTCCAGCAGATACTTCAACAATACCAATGTACAGATGCCTGGATTAACTACTAAAATATAAGTCATCGTATAATAAGCTGTCAACATAAGTAAAATTTCAGTTCCTTAGCATGGTTACACAGCTCCAAGAGTTTTCTGTACCACCTCCATAACTTAGCTCAAGTGCTACCTTTTCTGTAAAGCTTTCCCTGCTGATTTCCTCCCCATTATCCCAAACACTACAGAAGTCAACAACACCCAGGAAACAGCTTTATGATTACCTCAGCACATACTATAATTACTGATTTCCTTATATATCTTCCCATACCAGCTTGTAATCTTTCTGAGACCAGAGAGGCTTTTATTTATTCATGTGTCTTGCATGTATAATTTAGTAAGCGGTCAATGGACAGTTATTGAATGATTATTGAATTGAAGCCAGGAGTGATAAAATTACCTAAAAAGAGCAAACCCCAGATCTAGTCTATACATCAAAATGGTGTATGTTTCAACGTTTTATGAATATGTATGATTTTTTTTCCCAGGTAACTTGCTGACTTAGGTTCTCCAACCAAATAAATTAGTCCATCTGTATTTGTAGACAACCTTCCTTGATGAAAGAAAGTGTGTGTTAATTTATATACTGACAGTGGTTACTGATCTTGTTTCAGACCATTATTTAAGAAGCACTGGCTTAAAGAATTAAGGAATGTATTGTTTTACATAACAAAAGATGGCTCAGTGAATTTAAGGGCCTATCTTAAATGCAGATATATGGAAAGTGGCTATATTCCTCCTGGTCTCTAGAATTTCAATAGCTATGGGAACAAAACATTTTATAATAGATGAATTTTTTTTTTAAGTGTTGATGTGGCCGGAGGAATAACTCAGCCTGTTGTTTCTAAATATTTCTTTGCCTTAAGAGAGCTGCTACAGTTCCAGGTCTCCCATTTAGACTTGACAATATCCAGAAAGAAAAATTTCTGTCTCAAGTTATTTTTAAGAATGAAGAAAAGTTTCCCAGAAATCCACCTGAAGACTCCTTCTCCATTTATTGTCCATAAGAGTTATATATCCATTTCTAAATGTAACACTAGCAAGGGGAATGGCAGGTGCCAGTGTGATTAAATTTGAGCAGTTAGGATTTTCTCCCAAGTCTTATGTGGAAGAATGAACACTGAAACAAATCAAGATTCTAATAGAAAGGGAGAAGAATGTTGTTACTGGGTGTGCAAACGACAATATGTGCTACAACTATTCTGTATGGTATAATGAAAAGATAAACTCAAATGTCAAAATGTAATAAGCCTTTATTTTAGTATATCCAATAAATAAAGACCATATCACAGGTCTTTAGAACTTAAGAATAAGCTAATTATAGAAGAGTAGAAATAGTGTTATGCTTTTTATCTGTGTTTATTTTCAATAGAAAATAATTTCCCTAGTAAGCAATGAAAGGTTTTACATAATTTATACTCTGGCCACATCAACACTTTTTAAAATAAATTCATCTATTATAAAATGTTTTGTTCCCATAGCTATGGAAATTCTATAGACCAGAAGGAATACAGCCACTTTCCATATATCTGCATTGATACAGTGAAGATTTTTTAGTGATTATATAATTATAATTTATAGTTGATTTTAGAGGGTTCTTGAACTCATATTTGAATGTGGGTATAAGCTATTTGGGTCCTTCTCTAATCTGGCACACTAGTCATTAGGGCTTTTAAAAAACATGAACATGATAGTTTCTACTCTAGATGCATGGCAGAACTGAACTCTGTTCCCACTGCTCTGACAAATGAAAATATGAGCAGAAATAATGTTTTACTTCATGGAAGCTTTAAAAGACTGTGCCATTTACCAAGTTCCCTTCGTCCTACAGCAGGGATGTAACTTCTGTCAGCCTTGGTCTCTGAGATGCTAGTGAGTACAGCCCTTTGTCAAATGTATAAAGTGAGCAAGAAATTCTCATTGTTTTAAGCCCTTGGGGTTTGAGGATTATTTAATGGAGTAAAATTTGGCCTACCCTCATTGAAATATTGGGGTACTCCATATGACCTTGAAAAGGATTACTTAACTTCTCCATATCTCTGATTCTTCAGTTGTAGAATTCTGTGTCAATTTAATGATCTTC